ATATTAATTACCTATAAATTCTCTAAAACTATCTCGTCAGAAACAAGCCAGGGGGACGAACTTTTTTTACCATAGACATAGCTCACTATGGGCTACAAGATGCACAAAGCCCCGACTGAAAAGCGCTCTGGCACCTGGGAAGGTTCCCTTGTAAGTGACGAAGTAATTGGATACAATTACGACGTTTAGTCTCAATACTGAGTTCCATTCCAGCATTATTAGCAACAAGCAAACATATACTTAGTGAAATTAATTGGGTTTTAGAAACAGAGAGACACGAAGTGAATCCTGGATCACTCGTTCATTTTTTACGGAATTTTTTTGGATGATCTCATTTTTTTTATGCTGCTATTTATAGAAGAAACTAAATAGTATACTTTTTCATATAAAATAAAGGTTTGAAAACTGTACTATGAGTGTGAAAGTATCTACCGGATGCCAATAAACCCCGATCGAATATTGTACGGGTATTTAAAAAAAAAGTACCGGTCTGGGCTGAAGTGCGAAAAATCATATTCCATGAGGACTTTACGATGATGCACGCTAAGCTTCAGAAAAAAATGTTTATTTTTATAACTTTAATCAGTACTATCTGATATTTAGACAGTTGATTTAAGACGAGATAGTTTTAGAGAATTTATAGGTAATTAATATATGATATTTCGTTATAAAGAATGATTTAATTAATAGTAATCTTAAAATTTTATTATGAAAATCTTACAAACCTGCTAAAGCTCTTTCATTGAAACCATACATTGATGAAATCATTTTGCCATTATTCATTTCTGTTGACCAAAATCGTACTTTTTGTCTTCCTTGTATGAGACAACTATTATGATTAAATACATTGAGATTCGCCCATCCAATACAGATCCATTCATCCTAAAACAGAATTTTCTACATTTGTTTACTTTAATTTAAAAGTAAAAAAAAAAATCTTACAGAATTTAATAATGATGTTCGTCGTCGATGAAAATGTATCGAACAACATAATTTACTTGCTGGTGGTAAATTAACTAATGTTATATCAAATTTAATTTCTTGTTGCCAATCAGGATTTAATGTATCAACTGAACGACTTTCTATAATTGAACCAGAAAACAATGGTTGTGTACCATGATATAATCCAATCATAATTTTAACCTTAGAATTCAAACAAAACAACAATCATTTTAATATATCTATATAGAAGAAAAAAAATCATTTACTTCATCAAACTCGCCAGCTGGAATCAATTGACCCGATAAAATACGTAAAGAAAAATATCTGCATGCTATATCTTTTTCATTCCATACATGACGAATTTCATTACTTCGTCCACCGAATTCTTTAATAAACAAAATGTTCAGTTCAAAAGACAAAAATAAAGATAAGGAGATTTACTTTGAGGTTTTTTTCGTTCTTCTTCTTGTTTAATAGCTTCATGTATCATTGCTATACATCGTTTTTTACCATTACCAGTTGCACTTTCAATATTAATTAATTTAAAATATAATGGTTTATCGAGACGAAGACATGTTTGAACATACTATATAAATACACGAAAATTTATTTATAAAATTGAAAACAAAATCAAAAATAGAAACCGATACGAAATGAAAAGAAGTTATGACTGGATGAGATTAATTACCATATCACATATACTCAATTGTAGCTGCTGTCGAAAGAGTGTTTTAGGCAGAAGATCAAATTTAGACCTAACAATTTTTAATAATATTCTGTTTCTTCGTTTGATTGAAAATAATCTTGTAAAGATGATTTGAAGCAGCGAAGAATAAAATATTCTCCCCATTTCGGCCTCTGATACGAAACGTACAGTAGCGAATAAAAATCTCGGCCAGAGTATCTGTTGAAGGCCTGAAAGTTTGTGCACAATAGACTTCACCAAGAATGCAGGTCATTGGCAATGCGGCGCTATTATTGTTTAAGTGCAAAGAGAGTTATGATGGATGAAATGTAGTTTTTTCTCTGAGCATTATAATCTCAAAAGAAACTATCTACAAATTTATCTGAGCTATTTTTTAATTAAGATATGACTGATTCTTGATATTTTAAATGTAAATAAAGCTCCATCTACGATCTTTCTTTGCCCAAAAGATAAGTTCATTTGCTCGAATATTGATGCTTGTAGATTCTGGAAACCAGCAAGATTATCATGTGTTCAATTACTCTTTGGTGTAAAACTCACTTCCGAAACTAGGAGGTAATTATATCTAACTTTAGAGAAAGCTTCTCCAAAAGTTTGAATTCATTTCATTGGACTATCACTGAGTTATTGACCTTCAAATGGCAGTAGATGATTTCTCTTCACAACAATACAATGAGCATAGACTTCGAAAAGATTGATGAATCTTAGTAATATAGATAGTTAGAACATGGCATTACAAATCGAGCAGTTAGCTGAGAGTAGAGCCCGTTGGATCCAGGGCCAACCTGACAGACTCTACAGTTAACGCAAAATACTCTTCTTGTTGAAGGTTATGAGACTAACAACAAAAATAGATGCTATTCATCATAACTCTCTCTTTGTAGTTAAGTAATAACGGCACCGCATTGTTGTCAATGAACTATATTCTTGATGAAATACGTGTACATAAATTTTCCGATCTCTAGCAGATAAACTGATCGATAGTTGTGTTCAATTTAAAATCCGATAATGAAAAACAAGAAGCAATTTTTCTATTAAAAAAGCTGTTAGCGCAATCCCTTGCGGGATTAAAAATGTGAAACACGATGGCTCTATTATTACTAATTAAATGGAAATTCTTTTCTTCCATTACGTTACGATACATTTGTAG